GCCATCTGAGAATAAAAAAGCAGGCTCTCACCAGCCACCCATCCTGCCAGTACCTTGACCTTGGACTTCTCAGCCTCCAGAACTGTGAGAAATAAATTTCTGTTGTTGATAAGCCACCCAGGATGTCGTATCTTGTTACAGCAGCTCAAAACGGGCGCAGACACCTACCTACCTGGCATCCACGCCTCCTTCCTCCAGTATCAACTTTTCCTGGAGGGACCATCCTGCTCCCAATATCACCTGACGGCTCTCTGGACAGCCTCTCAGAGCCACCTCACTCATTTGGGGTGGTCACACTCAGCCAAGCAAGACCAACTTTAATGAATCCTAGGGGCTCCTTGCTGAAACGACTGGTAGTCTTCCTGCCGGAATCACCCACCGGGGAGGGTGGAGCCTACTGCTTCCTTCATGGAGGGGAGTGGGTGGGGGTGAGGGTGCAGCGGGGGTAAAGCTACCCTGAAAAATGTCCCCACCAGAACTAACTCTAGTGCAAACTGTGGGCCTTGTTTTGTTCTCTTTTCAGTTTTATGAGCCAAATTTAGGGTTAGGAAAACAAACATTTTAGTTTCCTTTAGTAACTCACCATCAATGTGGAATTCATGCTTCATCTACTACCACCAACACTTTTTAAAGTTATTTTGTTGCCTGAAAAGGTTTTTATTAAAACATTTTTAATATCTGTGGTGAGCAAAATAAAAAGAAGTGCACTCACGATCCTGCCAAGAGACCATCTGTTTTCATTTTTCTCTCTCCCCTTCCAAGCTTGCTATCAGCATATGGAATATTTATCATAGTTATAACATACATTTAAACTTAGGTATTGTATGGATAGATTTTTTTTAATCCTCTCTTTTTTCCAGAAAAATGTTTATTATTTTATTCCTTCAAGTCTTATTTTAAGTGTGTGGGTTCACGTTCAATTTTAAAATACGTGTTAAAATTCGTAACAGGTATTTTAAGTGTGTTACGAAGGTCAGTGTGTGCCATGGGGTTTGCTGCACAGATCACCTCATCGCCTAGGTGCTAAGCCTGGTGTCCATTGGCTATTCTTCCTGATGCTCTCCCTCCCCGCAATCCCTCTCCACAAAAAGTTTTATAGTGGAAGTGTTTGTCATGTTGCTTCAAGGTCATCATACTGAAGTTAGCATCTCTAAAAGATAGATACTTTTTGTCTTTAAGATAACCGCAACACGACTGTGACAGCGAAACAGCAGTTCCTCAATGTCCTCAAATAGCCTGTTACTGGTCACATTTCTTTGTTGTCTTTTTTTCCAAACTGTTTACTGTCTGAATCAACAGAAAAATAAGGTCAAAACCTTGTAACTAGTGGATGACTCTTAAGTCACTTTTTTTTTTTTTTTTTTTTTGAGATAGAGTCTTACTCTGTTGCCCAGGCTGGAGTGCACTGGCATGATTTCGGCTCACTGCAATCTCCACCTCTTGAGTTTAAGCGAATCTCCTGCCTCAGCCTCTTGAGTAGCTGGGATTACAGCACGTTCTATCATGCTCAGCTAATTTTCGTATTTTTAGTAGAAATAGGGTTTCACCATGTTGTCCGGGTTGGTCTTGAACTCCTGACCTCAGGTGATCTGCCTACCTTGGCTTCCTAAAGTGCTGGGATTACAGGGACGAGCCACTGTGCCCAATCAACTTTTTTTTTTGGAAACAGAGTCTGCTCTGTCACCTAGAATGGAATGCAGTGGTGCGATCTGAGCTCACTGCAATCTCCGCCTCTTGGGTTCAAGCGACTCTCCTGCCTCAGCCTCCCAAGTAACTAGTATTACAAGCATGCATCACCACGCCTGGCTAACTTTTTTTGTATTTTAGTAGAGACGAGGTTTCACCATGTTGGCCAGAGTGGTCACAAACTCCTGATCTGCCCACCTCGACCTCCGACAGTGCTGGGATTACAGGCATGAGCCACCACACCTGGCCTTAAGTCACTGTTAACCTAGAGTGTCTGTGTGGGTGTCTCTCTCTCTTTTTCTTCCATTGCAATTTTTTGATGAAGAAACTGGATTATTTGTCTCCTTGGGTTTTTGACATTCTGGTTTTTCTCCCTGGTCTTCACTCCAGCTCTTGCCCCATCTCCTTCCCCTTTGCTGGGAAAGACCTCAATTTGCCTGTTCAAGCCATCTCCATTTGGCTGCTGCCCCCTGGATCCCACCATCACTAAAACCGCCTGGCTAAAGTCTCCCTAGTTGCTACATGCTATTGTGAGTCCTCTTAGCCCTTGACCATTCCAAGGTATCTGGCCCAATGGGCCCTGCGCCCCCTCTCCCAGCTTCTCCTCAGGCTCTCTGGATGACTCTCGTGGTATCGATACCCTCCTGTTAGCACTGCAGTGAGACAGGAGTGATCCTGATACAATGGAGTGATAGTGTCACCTCCACTTTTGTCTTGGCCTTGCTTCCCTTCTTGGCAACTTGCTGTGGCGGAAGCCAGCTGCCAGGGAGAGGCTCACGTGGTGAGAAATTGGGGCCTCTGCCTGACAGCTGTGAGGTCTAGAGCCTAGAAGTGGATTATCCAGCCCCAGTCAAGCCGTCATATGAGCGAGGCCATGCTGACAGTCTGACTACAGCCTCATGAGAGACCCTGAGCCGGAACCACCCAGCTAATCACTCCCTAGTTCCTGGCATTCAGAAACAGTGAGACAATGAGTTTCAGTTGCTCAGTTTCGGGGTAATTAATTATGTAGCAACCAATAACTAATACTGGCACCTCTCTCTCCTAGGTCTTCTACCTCTCTGACTGCCTCTACTTAGTCAAACTTACTGGTTCCATTTTTCTTCCCGCTGCTTAAGTATCCATCCCCCCGGGGTCTGTCTGCTACACTTGGATGCTGGGTGGGGAATTCGGAAGGGGCAAAAGTGGAGATGAGGAGACCCTTAAATGTTGTTCCAACCCCTGAAGATATTTGTGCTGCTGGAGCCCTCTGGGCATCTCCCTGGCATAGCACCGTCCTCACAGGACACCAAAGGCACCACATCCCCCAGGACACCAAAGGCACCTTTGCCGGTTCCCTCTCTGTATTTTCAGCAATCAACAGGGCTGGGCACACAGAAGGCTCTCGGCAAGCATCTACTGAAGAAACAAATGAACAATCAGAGGACTGCTGAGCAAGTTGGTCACCCTATCAGCACAGACTGGGAGCTCTCAGGCTGGAAAAAGCCCTGCCTGTGAACCTGAGCTTCCATTTATATGTGATATTGGACTCCAGCCCTAGGTCCTGTTCATGCCTCCCCATTATAAGAGGCACCCAAAGATCCTCATCATTTGTTTCCAACATCAAGCTTCAATCCTTCCCAACATAGCCCTTCCAAGCCCACAGTACCCACAAACTAGCTTTCTGGTATGATAAAGTAAAGTCCTGGGCTGGGCATGGTGGCTCACACTTGTAATCCTAGCACTGTGGGAGGCTGAGGCAGTCAGAATGCCTGAGCTCAGGAGTTTGAGATCAGAATGGGAAACATGGAGAAACCTTGCCTCTACTAAAAAATACAAAAATTAGCCAGGCATGGTGGCAGGCACCTGTAATCCCAGCTACTTGGGAGTCTGAGGCAGGAGAAGTGCTTGAACCTGGAAGCAGAAGTTGCAGTGACCAGAGACTGCACTCCGCACTTCAGCCTGGGCAACAAAGCAAGACACTATCTCAAAAAAATAAGGAAAAAAGTTCATGAGTAAACAATAATAAAAGATACCAGTGTGTTTCCTTGGTATTCATATAGCCAATGTCTCCTTTGTGAACTCTGGTCAGGCAAGACTTTTTCTTGAAGGAAATATTACTCCTTTTCCATAAATCTCCACTAAACTTTGAAATTTCCTGCTTAGATACATTCTGAGTACTAAAGATGATCCCTGAAAGTAATTTGTTATATGACTAGGCAGAATCTTTTCACCTGGCATGAAGCATTTCCTCTCTTAGGTCCTTACCTTTAAAGTGTAAATACAATGTATCATTCAATGCTGGAGTAATATAAAGTTTGTGCTGCTTGCAGAGTTTTTGCAGAGAACTTTTAGTCATTCTGTTAAAATGGAAAACATGAATAAGTTTATTGGAAATTGTCAGCTGTGAGTATATTCTCAAAGTTCTTTCCCACATCCTTTCCTGCCCAAAATTCTATAACACCCTATATGCCTGATACCTATTTTAAGTTCTTTTTCTCTTTCTTCTTTTTCTTCTTCTTTTCGTAAAACAAGCCGATATTGTTTTCAGCATTTTTTTTTTTTTTTGATGTGGAGTCTCACCTTATTGCCCAGGCAATGGCGCGATCTCAGCTCACTGCAACCTCTGCCTCCCAGGTTCAAGTGATTCTCCTGTCTCAGCCTCCAAAGTAGCTGGGATTACAGGCATGCACCACCACACCCAGCTAATTTTTGTGTTTTTCGTAGAGATGGGGTTTCACCATGTTGGCCAGGCTGGTCTCAATCTCCTGACCTCAGGTGATCCACTCATCTCGGCCTCCCAAAGTGCTGGGATTACAGGCGTGAGCCACCACACCCAGCCTATTTTCAGCATTCTTAAAAATTGCAATGTATGTTTTTTTTTTTTCCTTTTGAGATGGAGTTTCACTCTGTCACCTGGGCTGGAGTGCAGTGATGCGATCTTGACTCACTGCAACCTCCGCCTCCTGGGTTCAAGCAGTTATCTTCTCTTAGCCTCCCAAGTAGCTGGTGTTACAGGCGCCCACCACTACAACAAGCTAAGTTTTTGTATTTTTAGTAGAGATGGGGTTTTACCATGTTGGCCAGACTGGTCTCGAACTCATGACCTTGTGATTTGCCCACCTCAGCCTCCCAAAGTGCTGAGATTACAGGCATGAACCACTGTACCTAGCCTAAAAATTGCAATGTATATTCTAATAAAACTACTTTAAATGGTGTCATCAGGAACTACTGCTGCTCCTATTGCAGGTCTGGCTTTAAAGTTGAATAGAATGTGTGCCGAGCTGTGCGGCAGAAGCAGGGCCATCATCACTTCACTCTCAGACACGGGGCAGGCGATTCAATCTCTACCAGCCTCTATTTCCTTATCCACACAAGGCAGTGCTTTTGCCATTTGCCTTACTTCGTAAATGCACACTGATTGGCAGCATGCCCACGTACCTGGGGCCCCGATCTTCCCTGTCTTCTCTTGGGTGTGGGAAGTGACCATCTGACCCGTTATCACCACTCTGTTTCTGCTGGCTTTGGGAGGATGTGTCAGAAGAACCCACACGTGTTTCCTTAGGCTCATTAATTTCTGTAAAATAAAAGAGATCAGGTTTGTAGAGATCAAGATATATATCAAAAAATGTTCCCCAGCTTCAGCTTGGTTAAGGACCAACCACTGTTCATATAGAATACCAGTATTCTTTAGTGGCTGGGCACGGCGGCTCAGTCCTGTAATCCCAGCTCTTTAGGAGGCTGAGGCAGGTGGATTGTTATAGCCCAGGTGTTTGAGACCAGCCTGAGCAACATGGCAAAGCCCCATCTCTACAAAAAATACAAGAATTAGCCAGATATAGTGGTGCATGCCTGTAGTCCCAGATACTTGTGGAGCTGAGGCAGGTGGATCACTTGAGCTCGGGAAGTTGAAGCTGCAGTGAGCCATGTTCACACCACTGCACGCCAGCCTGGGCAACAAAGTGATACCCTGTTTCACAAAAAAAAGAGAAAAAAAAAAGAACACCAGTAATCTTTAAATGTATAACAATTTTTAAAGTACCGTCAAAGATTGTGTAAATTTCACTACTAGGTACATCTATAAAAACACTTGTAACAGGTGCACAAGGAAACATGGACAAAGATATTTGTTTCTGCCTTTTTTTATATAAGCCAAAAACTATTAATGATGTAAATGTCCATCCATAGGGACTGTTTACATGAAACAATGACTTGCTTTTCTGCTTTTGAGAAGAATGCACTTGAACTACATCCATCCATACAGATAAATCTCAGAAACCTATATGGAGTGAAAAAAAGCAAGTTTCACAATAAGCACCAGATAACATTTATATAAACTAAAAATATGCAAACCTGGCTGGGTGTGGTGGCTCACACCTGTAATCCCAGCACTTTGGGAGGCCAAAGTGGATGAATCATGAGGTCAGGAAATCGAGATCATCCTGGTTAACACCATCACCCTGTCTCTACTAAAAATAAAACAAAATTAGCCAGGCATGGTGGCACACACCTGTAGTCCCAGCTTTTCAGGAGGCTGAGGCAGAAGAATCTCTTGAACCCAGGAGGCGGAGGTTGGAGTGAGCCGAGATTGCACCACTGCACTCCAGCCTGGGTGACAGAGTGAGACTCCATCTCAAAAAATATATATATCTATATACATATATAGATATATATGTATATATATGTGTTTATATATACACGTGTATATATGTATATATACAAGTGTATATATGTGTATACATGTGTGTGTATATATACACATATATAAATTTTTTTGAGATGGAGTCTCAAAAAAAAATATATATATATATATACATGTATAATATATATGGGCACAGTGGCTCACATGTGTAATCTCAGCACTTTGGGAGGCTGAGGTGTACGTATCACAAGGTCTGGAGATCGAGGCCATCCTGTATATATACATATATATGCATATATATATATATATATATATATGTATATATATATAGAAACCAATGCTATGCATTGTTTCGGGGCACATAGGTATACAGAAGTGCTGGAAAGAATCCATATAAAATTCTGGACAAGGCAGGAAAGGAATGGGATTAGAAATGGGGTGGGGGAGAGAGAACAAAAGGAACACAAACTTTATGTGAAATTTATTTATTTATTTATTTTGGAGACAGTCTCGCTCTATCCCCCAGGTTGGAGAGCAGTGGTAGGACCTCGGCTCACTGCAACTTCCGCTTGCCAGGTACAAGTGATTGTCATGCTTAGCCTCCCAAGTAGCTGGGATTACAGGTGCCTGCCATCATGTCCAGTTAATTTTTTTTTTGTTTTTTCAGTAGAGATGAGGTTTTGCCATGTTGGCCAGGGTGGTCTCAAACTCCTGACCTCAGGTGATCTGCCCTCCTCAGCCTTCCAAAGTGCTGGGATTACAGGTGTGAGCCACTGCACCCAGCCTTATTCATTTTTATTTTTATTTATTTTGCAGAGGGGGTTATTTCTTTCATTAAAAAAGACTTCAAGTAAATATGATAAAATGTTAATCGTTTTCAGTTCTTGGGGGACAAAACATGGGTATCTGTTTTAAAGTTCTTTGTTCTTTTGCCTTTTAAAAAATTTCTCAAGCAAAGTGTGGTGCAGCATGCCTGTAATCCCAGCTACTCAGGAGGCTGAGGCCGGAAGATCTAGCCTGGGCAACATAGTGAGATTACATCTTTAAAAAAAAAAATACGACTGGGCGCGGTGGCTCACACGTGTAATCCCAGCACTTTGGGAGGCTGAGGTGTGCGGATCACGAGGTC